TGTAGGGTCTTCGAATGGCGTTGCGCATGCTCTGCAAGTCTACAATCATTCGTGGGCTAGTCAAATCTTACTGTCGGATAAGGCATGGCCTCTATCTTGTGCACATGATGGCGACCACAGCATGGTAGCTGACATATTACAGTAATATTATTGGTCCTGATATAAGTCTCGTATCAATAAAGTTAGATCATCATAAATAATTCTTATGAAGAGGATGTTAAGACAACAAAAATATTGGGAGGATAAGAAGGTAATAAAGATAATAGTACTTTTATATAGTATAGTAAAAAGAAGTTTAAAATAGGATAACAAGTTCTAAATATTTCAGACTTTCAAAGACTCGATTGATCTGTAGCTTAATTGTGGGAATGTTCAAACTTTTTTGTTGTCTTTCTTTTGGTGGTCAGATTACAAAAAAAAAAAAAGGATGAGGAACAATGCAAACTATTGAAATTTAAGAGAGAACATTTACATGTGACATTATTTAGTAGCAGTGTCATCATCAAAATTTTGGGAAAAATAAATTGCATAGGACTTGTAAATTACATCAGAAAAGAACCATCTCAAAACCCACCTTTCTCAAGTACAGCAAACTCTGCCACTTCAATCCACTGGGGTTAGCCAGCAATTATCAAGCTTGCTGATATATAATCAGAAAAAAAAAAACCTCATTTCTTACTGTTTAATCAATCATCCAGTCTGATGTCTTGATCAAACAAAAAATTTCTGATCAAACTCTTTGATCTTTTAGTAGTCATCTTGAGAACAGGAAAAAAAAAAAAGAGATTGAATACAGCATCTTTTACTGTACAACTATAAAAGCCTTGCTAAACATACAAAATTCCTGTTGTAGAGATCTGTAATAAATCTTAGTCTTGAGGGATCTGTGAGATCAATCAGATCTTATAGCATTTGCCAACACTCAGATCTGGGAACAAGTGAACCAACTACTGTCACCAATTGCATGATTGCCTTTGGATCTTTGAATTGTGGGCAGACTTGCCACCCTTGTCCTTGTAAAAATTTCTTGACAGGGCTTTGCGCGTGCCTTGAGAAGCTGCTATGGCTCGCCTTCTCTGCTTATTGAGGCGCTTCGTTAGTTCAGCATCACCATCATCTAACTCATCACTGTTCTCCTGAAACATATAAACCAGCTATTTTAGGTAACAGCAACACGGTGAGTGAACATAATTAAAATGCTCAACACACAAACAATCAACATGTCTCCGAAGTCAAAAAAAGTTAAGAAATATGTGCGATGTCGACAAGTTCTGATATGATAAACCAACTGTAAGAAGCTTTATCTTCATACGTTATGGCTAATTGAGGAGATGAACTTGCTCGAGTGCAATGTGTTGGTCTTACAAAGAAGATAATCAAACAAGTTGAAAGGCAAGTTATGATACAAACAAGCTAAGCAGAGTTACGGTACCAAACAAATAAAGCAGACAAGTTTCCTCTAATTGTCTGAACTTCTAGGTTTGCTTGCATAGTTGGTTGCGTGTGCCTGTGAGTTTTATATGAAAATAATTTTGCTACAGTAACACAATACTTCAAATAATCAAAAGGCCTGTATGATTCACAAGATTTTACGTGGCCAATTATTCGATCAGAATCAAACAGAATTAGTCACTTATTATTAACTAATTCACAAAATTCAACACATATTCCAGGAAAGTTCATGATTAATTTAAAAACAAATTACAAAATAGAAGCCAATAATAAAATACGTTACTATTGCAATTTTCAACTAAGATAAATTCTTCCTAGGTGCACTTGAAGCTTGGGTTTTTCTGTGCCTTAGACATCCAACTCATCTTCATTTCTTGCTAACTTTGAACTTTGGGTGTCTTTATCATTTAGTTGTTCTTTTAAGAGTTTATAAGTCAAATAAACAGAGAAATCTAATACCAACGCTTGGTTCTTTTATCAACCTAAAAACTAAGGCTGTCATTGAAGCTAATAACATGATACGACAACTCAAAATTGCAGGTATGGGT